TTAATTCTTGAATCAAAATCATCGTATAGTAGACAAAACCAATTAATAAAATTGATCACAAATAGGTTGAATGCTTACCAAATCAATTATTGAAGACGTGTGTAACCTTGATAGAAAATGCCCTACATTCTTATGGAAACATTTCCTTAATATATATATATATATATATATATATATATATATATATATATTGTTGTGCCTCTAAATAATTCAGGAGCTAATTTCATTAATGGGTGAGCTTGTATGTAGGTAACTAGGTCAAGTAATGTACCTACAGGTGTTAAACATATCATTAATTTTATAAATTATACAACCGAGTGCATTATATATATATAATTAACAAACTAGGTGTAAGTGGCATGTTGCTTTAAGGCAGGTTGCATGAGCTTCCTAGAAATAATCGACTTAATAAATAAGAATTGAGGTTTAGCTCAGACCAATATTCCTAACTTCTATGATATTTTAAAATTAATCAATTTATGGAAAAATCCAATTAAAGTAAAATCTATTCATCGATATAAACTGTTTATGAAAGAAATCCATTAATCAAAAAAATATACTGGTGGAAAAATTTATTTGTCGTAAAATCTATGTATAAGAATCTTGATTATTTTATAGAAAAATTCGAATTTCGAAGGACTTAAATGAGGAAAAATGTATAAATAAAAAATCTTATATATAGAAAATTTTGTCTATTTAATAAATTTAACGATTTTCGTATAAATTCTAATAAAGCCCTCTATTTTTTTCATATGACAGCAACTGTTACTCGATTGAGTTTCTTCAGAACAAAAGCAATGGACAAAACCTATATAAGAATCTTGATTATTTTATGGAAAAATTCGAATTTCGAAGGACTTAAATGAGGAAAAATGTATAAATAAAAAATCTTATATATAGAAAATTTTGTCTATTTAATAAATTTAACAATTTTCGTATAAATTCTAATAAAGCCCTCTATTTTTTTCATATGACAGCAACTGTTACTCGATTGAGTTTCTTCAGAACAAAAACAATGGACAAAACCTATATAAGAATCTTGATTATTTTATGGAAAAATTCGAATTTCGAAGGACTTAAATGAGGAAAAATGTATAAATAAAAAATCTTATATATAGAAAATTTTGTCTATTTAATAAATTTAATAATTTTCGTATAAATTCTAATAAAGCCCTCTATTTTTTTCATATGACAGCAACTGTTACTCGATTGAGTTTCTTCAGAACAAAAGCAATGGACAAAACCTATATAAGAATCTTGATTATTTTATGGAAAAATTCGAATTTCGAAGGACTTAAATGAGGAAAAATGTATAAATAAAAAATCTTATATATAGAAAATTTTGTCTATTTAATAAATTTAATAATTTTCGTATAAATTCTAATAAAGCCCTCTATTTTTTTCATATGACAGCAACTGTTACTCGATTGAGTTTCTTCAGAACAAAAGCAATGGACAAAACCTATATAAGAATCTTGATTATTTTATGGAAAAATTCGAATTTCGAAGGACTTAAATGAGGAAAAATGTATAAATAAAAAATCTTATATATAGAAAATTTTGTCTATTTAATAAATTTAACAATTTTCGTATAAATTCTAATAAAGCCCTCTATTTTTTTCATATGACAGCAACTGTTACTCGATTGAGTTTCTTCAGAACAAAAGCAATGGACAAAACCTATATAAGAATCTTGATTATTTTATGGAAAAATTCGAATTTCGGAGGACTTAAATGAGGAAAAATGTATAAATAAAAAATCTTATATATAGAAAATTTTGTCTATTTAATAAATTTAACAATTTTCGTATAAATTCTAATAAAACCCTTGAATTTTTGCAAACGACAACAACTGTTACTCGATTGAGTTTCTTCAGAACAAAAACAATGCACAGAAATAGTGTGTCATTGTGTCATCATTTTTCAAAAGAACAATGATACTATATATATATATATATATATATGTATATATATATATATATGTATATTATATTATATTTCAATAACAAACAACGTAATACAATGTGTACTTCATTCAATTATATCGCACGTACACACTTTGTGTTTACAATTTATGAAATTAATTTTGCATTTTCAATACACATTTTTAAGTATACAGAGTTGCTGTAGGGTTTTATGATGTAAGAAGATATTATAGCGCAATTAATTTTGAACAAATTTCTCAAATACATCAATTAAATCAATCGAATGGTTTACAAGTTACAAGATAAATAGTAAATAAATTCCCACATACTGATTCTACGGTACTATATTTAAAAACGTTCTAATTTTTTATTTTTAGGTATACCGAGTTGCTGTAGAAATTTATAATGATACAACATTATATAGATCATTTAATTTTGAATGTATTTATCTAACACATCATTTATATTGATCGAATGGTTTAAATCGTATAATTAATGTAAGAGATAAATGCACATTCGAGGCATACGAGATAATTTTCCATTTTCAAATGCGATTTTAAATTACAACGAATTGCTGAAAGACATCTTATTATTCGGCATCATAGATTAATTAATTCTGAACAAATTCGCCAAATATTCCATTTATATTGAACAAATAATTTAAAAGTTATCAAGTTTTAGTAAATGAATGCATAAACGCTTCCGAAATCAACTGTTAGTGATGTCAGCAAGTCAACTAACATAGTTGATTTTTAAATGTTATTTTAAAGTATACCGAATTGCTGTAAGTTACAACAATATTAGAAAATATTATAGATAATTTAATTTTGTCCAATTTTATCAAAAACATGATTCACATTAGATGAAATATTTAAAAGTTACAAAAGTTATATTAAAAAAAACACCCAAAATATTTACAAGCCCTACAATAATGAACCAAATTAACGTTCCGTCTTCAAAAGCAATTTTCAAGTACACCGAGTTGCTGTAAGTCATTATGGTATTAGAAAATATTGTAGGAAATTTAATTTTCCACAAATTCACCAAAAACATAATTTACATTAGACAAACTGTTTAAAAGTTACAAGAGTTATAATAGAAAAAACACCTAAAAAATTGCAAGACATTTCCCCTATAATATACCAAATCAATGATCCGGTTTTAAAAGCCTTTTTGGAGTACACGGAGTTGATGTATGTCATTCTGTTATTAGAAAACATTATTTAAAATTTAATTTTGTCCAAATTTACCAAAAACATAATTTACATTAGATGAACTGTATAAAAGTTACAAGAGTTTTAAATAAATGCACAAATGTAATGTCAACTCTCACAATCAGGTAAAGTGTGTGAACTAGAAATAGTACAGAAGTTTAATACATAATTATATATATATATATATATATACACATTTCCTTTCCTTCAATTTTATTTTTACCAACTATTATTATGTAAAGATGACCTCATGCTGTCTGTATATATCGTTCAAATTAGTTCTTCGTCTTTAGTAATTGCCTTGAATAACTTTTATGAACTATAATTACACACAGCAAGGCGAATGAGTAAACCGACATGACTATTAAATTATTTACAAGACTTTTTTCAGTATTTACTTTCTTAATTCGAGAACAGACTGAAAAAAATTTTTTGAAAAGAGACGCCTTAAAAGTTACATATAAATAAACTAACTGATAGTAATAGATATATTTTTGAAGTAAAACTACTCCTAAAGAAGTTTTACTTTTTGTACTTTTTGTACCAAACGATTTTTAAGTATTTTCTATTTTGTCAACGATTCAATGATGAATTTGCATCTTATATTGTACACTATTTTGACAGGATTTTATAAAATTTGATATAAAAATTAATCAAAATGATTTATCTTAACTGTCAGCGCGTCCATATTGAAAATGAAACGTCAAATAAAAAGGATTATTATATATTATATTAAGTAAAGTATTATTTATATGTTTTTAAATAAAAATTATATAAAGTAAAGTACAATTTATATTATACTTTTGACCTGTTATCAATAAAACAAATATAATTATGTACTTATTATAAAATTTAATAAAATAAGTGTTTTTAAATTAACTTTGATCAAACTTCACTATGGACAACTAACTGTCAACCTTGTTGAAATTAAAATAAATTATTGTTAATAAATATATTTCTATTTACTTATTGTAATAATATAAATTAAATTATAAGATGACATTTTTTTAAATTTATCAAAAACTTTACGATTTTAAAGTCAATTTTAAAAATTTCAAATTTGTTAAAAACAATCATGGCTGCCATGTTTAAAGTGAACTGTCAAAAAATTGTATTAAAATTATTAAGTAATATTTATTTAAAAAAAAGTATATAAAACAAATATTAATTAATAAAACAAATATAATTGTGCACTTATTATATAATTTATTAAAATAAGTTTAATTAATTTAACTTTGATCTAACTTCACTATGGGCGGCTAACTGTCAACATTGTTAAAAGTAAATTAAATTATTGTTAAATATATTTCTATCTACTTATTATAATTTTATAAATAAAGTATAATATGCTATTTTTATCTTAATTTACCGAATATATTAAGATTTTAAATTATATTTTAAAAATTTTAAAAGTTTATTAAAAACAAACATGGCTGCCATGTTTAAAGTGAACTGTCAAAAAATTTAAATATTATTTGATATTATTTATTTATAAAATAAAATGTGTATTGTTATTGGATTATTACATATTGCTAATTTAATTACGAGTAAAAAAAAATTAATAAAATAATTATTTAATAATTTTCAAAACAAAATTTTATTTTATTCAATAAGCATCTAAATAATATGAATTTTTGAACAAAAATTGGTAAAATGCATCAATATTTTTATGTAAAATTTAACAATAAGCGTGAATTAATACAATCCGCAATAAATTCAGTTTCTAAACTCGAAAAAAAAATTAAGGTTATGGTTGTTATAAAATTTTAAAATAAAATTCATCAAAATACTTATTCATTTTGTCTACAACTATTGTATTATATATAATTTATCTATCATAAAATAATTAAAAAAGACTTACTTTTTCAGTTATGCATAAATCCAGAGAATTTAGAACACAATTTCTAAATTTCTTGTTTGCCAAAAAAATAGTTCACTAACACTTTATAGTATTTTTGGAAAGTTTTGTGGTACACAAACACTAAACTATCAAAATTATCAAAATAAATTTCACACTGAACTGATAAGATAAAATAACATTTTAAAAATATTTTGAGCAGCTGCTTTATAAACATATATATATATATATATATATATATATAATATATAAATATTTATATATATATATGTATATATATATATATATATTTATATATATATATATATATACAAATATTATTTTAATTATAATTAATATATAAATTAAATAAAAACGACGTCCATCTTAACCGGCATCTATATATTAATTATGATTTAAATGTTTACATTTATATATAAATTTTAATTTAAACTTACCAAATATTTTTAATGTGAACATTTAAAGAATTTTATTTAAATAATAAGGTTTTTGTATTTCTAGTGTTTTTTCAATGAATTTGTTGTGTGGTAAATTTTCTATATTTTATTTCTGTTATCCATAATTTTTTTGGATTATAGGACTTGGAATATCGAAAAATATCATTCGAAAAATATTACAAAAGAGAAAGACTCTACTGACAAGCAAATTGAACTAATCCAAAAAGTGCTTAAATGCATTTTTAAATTGTTAGACGAGGAAGTAGATTATTTAATTATGCACAAAGTTGCTATAAACTTCATCCACATTTCAAAAGTTATAAATAATATAATAATAAAACAATAATGTCCAAAAGTAGCCTGATAATTTTTGTTTAAAATTCGTAAGTTTACTGAATTGTTTAAAGGCGTTATAAATGTTAGACAAAGTTGTAAATTATTAAATTTTATACGAATTTACTAAATACTTCTCATCCATATTGATCAAATAATTTAAGAGTTCTTAAAAATTAGTTATGATTCACTTAAATTTCAAGTGTTTTTTTTCTAACTTTTGATACACTTTGTGGCAACGTACTAAAATAATATTAAATATGAGTATGAAAATTAAAATAAATAAATCAAATATATATTAATATATATATATATATATATATATATATATATAACGTGTGTATATATTTACGCATGTGATACAATATTATTACTCTCGCTCGCAAAAATTTTGCACGAGTTCCATACAATTTCCTCACATCACAAACACCAATAAGCCTTGTTTATAGCTGCACAATATTGTTTAAACATTGATTAAATATTTATAATATTTCTATGTCTATTTATTAAATTTCAATCTCAATTTATAATTTGTAAATCTCACAATTTAAATAACAAAATCACATTAGAAGACGACGTGTCCCACCCGAATGGCGTTCGAAAGCGTACTGAAGTACTCGGCTAATGTCGAGCTGGCGAAACCTGTTCTCTCGCCCGTAGAGAGGAAAGCATTGAAGGCCAAATAGAGGCCCGGATAGAAAATATATATAAAATTTAAATTTTAATATGAAAATTCAGATTTAGCAAAGTATAAATATTATTATATCATATGTTAGTTTTCAAATATTACATTAGTAGTTCAAGTTATGAAATTAAGTGTTATATTATAAATTCACTATCCATATCCGATTGGCGTTTATATGAATAACTAGCAAACCCGACCCGTTTCGCCACCAGATGGTTTCGTGAGAAAGATGAAGAAATTTTTTATTTGTTTTATATTTGAAAAGGAAAAATTTGATTTTATTACACAACAGTTATGAATTTATTTCGATTACTAAAATTAAGTGTTTTTTAGTTGAACTTCTCTCTAAGTAAATGAAAGTGAATCCGCAAATTATCCGTTTCATTGAAGTGCTCTTTGGTAAACCACATTTTTTGTTTTTTGGTCTGACGTTAACACAAACAAAGCGGATGGTTTTCCAACTCGTGATCAGGCAACGTATAACTGCCCATGTAAAAAACAATGATTTTCTAAATAATCTATTTGATATTTATCCCGCAAACACTAAGCGATTGGCCTTGCGACTTGTTATTGAGAACGCAAAGCGAACTGGAAATTGCAATCGTTTGAAGTCAAACGGAAAACCAGTCGGAATCATTTGTATGTCACCAAATCGACAGCAATTTTTGATTGAATGGTGAAATTCAGTGCATGTACACCATTATTCTTTGCGGCAAGAATTGCTCGTTGACTTAACCAAGCATAATTCTGATAATTCTCACTAATGTTATTACTCGAATTTTTAATTACGGTGCGTGAAGTTCCAGCATCTTGCATTAAGGCACGATGCCATGCAAAACTAATTTTCTTAGCTATAAACCTTGCGGAGCCCGAGACCTTTCCAACGAATGCAAAATTGTCGCAATCGGTTCGTGCGTTCTGGAGTTATTTCGTCAGGAAGGAAAACCCGACTTATTTTTATATATATAGAAGAAGAAGATAATCTATTTGAAATTATTTAAAACAGTTATTGATTATTTTTGTTACTCGAATTTTTAATTACAGTGCGTGAAGTTCCAGCAATTTGCATTAGGGCACGATGCCATGCACCACTAATTTTCTTAGCTATAAACCTTGCGGGGCCCGAGATCTTTCCAACGAATGCAAAATTGTCGAAATCTGTTCGTGTGTTTTGCAGTTATTTCATCAGGAAGGAAAACCCGACTTATTTTTATATATATAGAAGATATATATATATATATATATATATATATATATATAGAAGACATAGACTAAATAAATAAATAATCATAAAGTTACAAAAAAAAAACAAAACAATGAAGAACTAGTCGTGCATGGCATTGGTCCGTGAGGCAAAATGCTGGACCATCACACACCATAATTTAAAATTTTTAAAAACTCATAAAAGAAATGCCAAATGGCATTTTTTAAACTTTTTTTCTGGATCGCAAAATCGTCGACCAAAATTTGTATCCGCACACACACGCACACATACACATGCACACACACACACATCCATTTTTTCCAAGGTATGCCAAAATGTTCAGAAACCTTTGAAACGTAAAGATATATAAAAATTTTCATTTTCGATTTTTTATAATATTTATTATTTTTTATAATATTGTACTAAATTTTCCATACAAGATTTTGAGACATTTTTCTACATTTCTTCAAATAACTCAAAAACTTTGTTCCGGACACTCTTTTTTATTTAGCTTAGCAGAAACTAGATAAAATTTATCACATTTCCTCTTGAACAATTTAATAAAGTCTTATATGAATATTTTTGAATAAATCCAATGCAAACTCGGCCTTTTTATTGTACTAAGTTTGCCAAACAAGATTTCGGTTCATTTTTTTACATTTTTTCAAATACCACAAAAACTTTGTATCGGGCACTATTTTTTATTTACTTTAGCAGAAACTAGATAAAATTTACTACATTTTTCTCAAAACAATTTAATATAGTTTTAAACAAATATTTTGAATAAAATCAATTCAATCTCACACTTATATATTGTCCCAAGATTGTCATACAAGATTCCTGGACATTTTTTTATTTTTGCTGAATAACTCAAAAATTTTGTCCAGGACACTCTTTTTTATTTAGTTTACCAGAAATTTATTCCATTGCCTCTTAAACAGTTTAATATAGTATTATACAAAATTTTTGAATAAATCTAATATGAACCACCATTGTGAATAATATTACTACTGCAAAAACTATGCATAAACATAAACGATAATTGTTTCTAAGGATATTTATAGTTTTGGTTGCATTTTATTTATTTGTCTACTAAATTGCACTAAAAATGTTTCACTACCAATAAAATCATAAAGTAAATAATTTCAGTCAAAAAATGCTTTTAATCATTCGAAATTTTCCAAAGAATCGGTTTTCTCGAGTCTAAAACCATTTTTCTCAAATTTGGGTTGCTTAAAATCAAACAAAAAACTTATTTAGTTTTTTCAATTTTTGCATTCTATTTGATCCTATCTTAATTCAAATCTTATAAATTTTATCTTATTTTAATTCAAATAATTTTGTAAGTAATAATAATAAATTAAGTACCTTTGTGTCCAATATTCAGATTTACATTGAAATTGATCGATTATTATGCATTATGTAATTTTATTTATTTAGTAACCTTGATTGTTTTTTTTTTCTCAAATAAATAGTTATTGGTTGATTTTTTTCTAAATGCACACTCACTAGTTATAATTAAGAAAAGATCAAATATTTCTAAAAATATGAGAAAAGTTGTTGTATTAGACCAAGAAATAAATCGTACACCAAATATAGTATATAGAGAATATGTGCAATTAAACTGATTATGAGACATATACAGTCCTAAGTTTTCTATACAAAAATGTTGGATATTTTTATACATTTTGCTGAATAATTCGAAAAGTGTGTGTAAGCGCCCGGCGCAATGTTTATTAAAAAAAGTCAATTAAAAAATCACTACACACGGACACTTTACTACCTCGAAGGACCAGATATAATTTATCATTAGAATGGCTATATCAGACATTTAAAAATAAGTAAGTTAAATAAGTTGGTTTAGTTATTAATAGTATTTATTTGTTTGATGTTCACGGTTCAAGTTATACGTACAGAATGACTAATTTCTTATAACTAGCTTAGTACCTACAGTAGGGTAAGAAATTATTTTATTATGTCAGATAGAGAGAAATGGATTAATAAATTTGTGAGGCTCGAACAGTGTGTATAGGTCACTCATTAATAATTCCCTTTAAACAACTAACTTCTTTGTTGAATTCCACGCAAACAATGCCTGAGGTACATAAAGTAAAAATTCAGTAACACGAATTATATTTAAAATAGCATACAAGAAGAAGTTGGAACAAAAGTATACATTCGACAACCGTTGAAATATATATATATATATATATATATATATATACATATCATCTGCCCTATGCGGTGGTCACTATAAGCGGACAGTTCCGTACCATCAGCACGTGCACATCCATAACATCCGTCCCCGTGTTACCTGTGTTAACGGCGCATCTTCCATGATCGTACAAGGTGTAAAAAATAGTGGTGTCGTTGTTTCGCAAAAATCGAGAAGCATCCATTTTGTCGTGAGATTGGGCCAACTTGGTCATACCTGAAAAAAAATGAACTAGTTGGTATTGGTATTTTGCCATGAGGCAAGTTACATGAACTTTCCGATATGTGTAAATAATCGACTTAATCAATAAAAAACTAGTGGGGTGGGTGGCATCGTGCCTTAAGGCAAATTACAAAATACTGAATGTTTTCAAATAGATTATTATTAATATTGTAACATTGTCTAATATTTATAAGAATTATATAAACTGAATTGCACAGTTGAAATTATTTGTTTAAAGTATATTAGAACTATAGTCAGAATTAAAAATAAAATCTGAATTATTTTCGATATACAAAAAATTAAAAAAAAAAAAAAAAAAAATTGAACATTTTTTTTTCCAAAATCAATTATTTTGTTAAGACAAGCAAAAAGTTCTTTGAATCATTCAAATCGGACGCTTAGTTCTCTCAAAAACTGCCATTTTTCACATATTTAGCTCCGTATCTTCGAAATGGCTGGGCCTGCCTTTGCCAAAAACTAATAAACACTTCTCCCAATCATTACTAATTAAATGTTTATTATATCATTCAAATCGGATACTCCGTTCTTTCAAAAATTCGATTTCTTTTTTCTGCACTCTTTGCTCTGTATCCCCGAAACGGCTGGACCTGCTTTTGCCAAAAACTAATCAGCACTTTTCCCTATCGATAGGAATCGAATGTTTTTTGAACCATTCAAATCGGTTGATCCGTGCGCCCGAAAACGTGACTGGAAATTTGTATCCATACATACATACACACACACACACATCCATTTTTTCTGTGGTATGCCAAAATGTTCAAAAACCTTCAAAACGTCGAGAAATGTAAAAAATTTTAATTCCGATTTTCGGCCCATTACAATAACTTACCCTACGGGAAGTTAATATATTAATTTATGAGTGATTAAAAGTATTCCGAGTGGAATTATTACACGTAATTAAAAACGAACGATCACGTTAACTCGGAGTATTTTCTAAAAGCAAATTTTCAAAAATCAATAATTTTTATAATTGAACCAGTTTCCATAGGACTTTAATGGTTTAGTATGTTTATTAAGACCGAGTACTCTATCGTTATACCAAGTAAATTGTCTAATTTTAATTTTAAAAAAACGTCAAAAAAACTACTCATTTTCTCAAACTTTGATGAATTTTTAAAATTAAACTACTTGTCGTAAGGCCGTAATAATTCAGTATGTTCTATAAGACCATGATATATATTGCCAAAAAAGGTCCATAAAAATCGGCTTAAATTGTTTTTTTCAACAGCTAATTACGGCTCGAGAGATTTCCACCTAAAACTAATCAGTATCATTCCCAACTAATATCTTTCGAACAGATTTTGATTTTTTTAAATTGATTCGGTAGAATGAGCTTAAATGTGGACGAAAAGTTTACACTTTTTTGCAAACTATAAAGAAACGGCTCGGCTGATCGTCGCACAAAACTGACAAACGATAGTCCTCATCGAGATACATCAACAGGCTTTTAAATTTCTGAAATCGGTTCAGGCATTTTTGAGCAAACGTCGATAAAAGGTCTAATTTTGACAAACGCCAAAAAAACGATACTTATTTTTGCAAACTTTGACGACTTTTCAAAGTTAACGAGTTGTCGTAGGGCCGTAATATTTTAGTATGATCTATAAGACTATGGCATCTACCGTCAAAAAAAAAAATCATGAAAATCGTCGAAAATTTTTTTTTAACACTTTATTACAAGAAAACAGCCCGGCCGATCTCTACCAAAAACTAATCAGGTCGATTCCCAACCAATATCTTTCGAACGATTTTTGAATTTTCAAAATCGATTTGGTATTTACCTGGATAACCAATAGCTCCTGCAGAACTTGAGGTGCCATCGAAACCACTCGTTGCAGCACATAGCAGAAGGATATCAAATTCTAAAAAATATGAAAAATGTATGTATATATATATATATATATATATAGTATATATATGTTTAAATATTTTAAATATTTACCATTGACTTTTTCCAATTGGTAGCCATCACAATCAACAGCAAACTGCAAAGCTAATTGTTGAGCTCGACCGCCCACACCAGCGCCTTCCAGTTTCACTGTTGGTTTTCCTTAAATAAAGCAATATATATGATTTTATATAATTTTATCTTCTATATATATAAAAATAAGTCGGGTTTTCCTTCTTGACGAAATAACTCCAGAACGCACGAACCGATTTCGACAATTTTTGCATTAGTTGTGCATGGCATCGTGCCTTAATGCAAGCTGCTGGAACTTCACGCACCGTAATTAAAAATTCGAGTAATGACATTAGTGAGAATTATCAGAATTATACTTGGTTAAGTCAACGAGCAATTCTTGCCGCAAAGAATAATGATGCACACGCCCTGAATTTCATTATTCAATAAAAAATTGCTGGCGATTTGGTGACATACCAATGATTCCGACTGGTCTTCCGTTTGACTTCAAACGATTGCAATTTCCAGTTCGCCTTGCGTTCGCAATAACAAGTCGCAAGGCCAATCGCTTAGTGTTTGCGGGGTAAATCTCAAATAGATTATTTAGAAAATCATTGTTTTTCACATGGGCAGTTATACGTTGCCTGTTCACGAGTTGGAAAACCATCCGCCTTGTTTGTGTTAACGTCAGACCAAAAAACAAAAAATGTGGTTTACCAAAGAGCACTTCAATGAAACGGATAATTTGCGGATTCACTTTCATTTACTTAGAGAAGTTCAACTAAAAAACACTTCATTTTGTGTAATCGAAATAAATTCATTACTGTTGTGTAATAAAATCAAATTTTTCCTTTTCAAATATAAAACAAACAAAAAATTTCTTCATCTTTCTCACGAAACCATCTGGTGGCGAAACGGAGTTCGTCGGGTTTTCTAGTATATATATATATATATATATATATATATAATATATATAGCATTTTACCTCCAAAAAAGAAGCAAATTCCCTCCGAACTGATCCTGGCAGCCTCCATCTTCGTCAAAACCTGCGCCAAATCCAATTCAGGGTTCATAAGATGAAAAAATGGTCCCATGTCATCTGAAAATCGTGCTCGACAAATTGGCTGAGTCAAATATCTAACAGATAAAAAATATTATAAATGTGTTTTTTTAATTTTATTATTGTTTTCATCTTACCCAATGGTTTTGAGTACCAAGTCCACATATAAAGCACTGATGTCCAAAATATCTTCGCAAAGGTTCGAAGTTATTATAATCGGAATGAAACCGTGAAGCCGGGCTTCTTCTGCACAACCGAATAAAGCTGTCGTGTTATTTCCTAATTTATAAAATAAATGAAATTATAAATTATGCAAAAAACATGTATATATATATATATATATATATATATATATATATATATATATATATATATATATATATATATATATATATATCTTCTTCTTATATATATATAAAAATGGAGCTCTCGATCAAATGATCCGCTAATACTCGAAAACGGCTAAACCGATTTGGCCTGTCTTAGTCTTGAAAAATTCGTGCTAATCAGCAGGTTGTCAGAAAGGTGAGATATTATTTCAAAATCGCGTAGATTCTTTACATTTTTAATTTGAAAATTTTTGTAGAAGCGTAATTTAAATAAAACAATGTACGGTGGCTAATACGTCAAATATCACATGTTTTTGACGGATGATGTTCAATTACGTTTAATAGGATGTTTTACGTAAATATTAAATTGTAGTAAAGAGTTTTGTTCCTAGTTATATTTACACACAAAAACGTTATTAAACGAATCGCGAGCGTTACTAGAAACTCAAAATATCAACTTTTTTGAAATGCTAATATGAAAATGCACTTTTTGGCTAAATGCATATTAAATAGGTCTGAGAATCGGACAACATCTATTTTTCATACCCCAAAGTGATAAGGGTTGTCCACTTTTAAATTTTATTTTGTAATTTTTGGACGAAATTTTTTGTTTTTATTTTTTTATAATGTGGCTTTAAGAAATACGTACAACACTAGATTTTTACTTTTTTATTACCAACCCCTATTTTTGTATAACCATATTAGTAATTCAATCATTTTTCATCAGGCGTTCAGTCATTAAATATTTTTGACATAAATTCAGTTCATATTTTTGAGCTTAAGGGTTGTCCAATCCTAATAGTTTTTTTTTAATTTTGGGGTCAACTTTTAATATTTTAATTTTTTAATGCGGAATTGACAAAACAACTTTTTTTACTTCAAAATATTATTATATTATTAAATATCAAGGGTTGTCCACCGTCCACATTTTTTTAAATTTTTTTTTACCAATTTCGTTTATTTAAATTTATTATACTTCGAAATTAATAATTACATAGGACTCTCTTCACTTAAAAAAAACTATTTATTTTTACAAGGGTTGTCTTTGTCTACTCCTATTTTTTTAAATTTTGGAATCAATTTTTTTTTAGTTTTAATTTAACTTTTAATTGACATAATTTTAGTTAAGATTTTTTTGAGTATATAAAAATGATTAAATTGTTAGCTGCTCCTTTTACTCAGGCACCTCATTCGCAATCAGTTAGTTATTTTCGTACTAAACATTTTATACTAGAAATATTTTTTGGCGAAACAGCCGGGTCCGCTAGTATATATATATATATATATATATACTAATATGAGATATTAATAATTACCAATTATAAAACTTTGTGAATTGCTCATCTTGTCTGTCAGTATGGATTTCATCTTTGAGTCATCATTGTAAATATGTTTCTGCATAGATACTGTTAAATCGTTCTGAAAATAAAACAATTTTTATATATAAATAAATAAATTCATACAAAACTTTGATTGAATTGCGCACTATCTAAAAGTTAATATTAAGAGCTAAAACTTTCAGAGAATTGTTTTTTATCAATTTGGAACCACTTGAGCCCTTGGGAGCAAGGAAATTCGAAAATGACCATTTTAAGGACCACCCTAACATATAAATATATATTATATATTATTTTTGATTTCAAGAATTCTGAATTAAAAGCCCAATTTTTTTTTCAAAAATTTTTAACATTAAAAAAAAACTTCAATTTTTTTTATTCAAAGTAGCAGGGGTATAGGATGTCTTTAGAAACTTATTGACATTCAACAAATATTAAAATGTAGCAAAAACAATGTTTAAAAATACATCAAGAAACATTTACATTTTTACATTTCTGTGTACTGTTTAAAAAAATTACTTTTCGAACAATCTATTATATTTTATCAACTAAACAGTATAATATTGAGAACAGTTTCCTTCATTTTAATAGATAGTTTGAGAACTTCTTATTTATTAATTTCCTTAGGGCAAGTTATAGTAATCGCGAAAAAATAGAAAATGAAAATTTTTATATATCTTTACGTTTCAGAGGTTTCTGAATATTTTGGTATACCTTAGAAAAAATTGATGTATGTGTGTGTGTGTGCGCGCGTATGTATGTATGTTCGAATACAAATTTTTGTCGACGATTTCGGGAACACGGATCAACCGATTTGAATCATTCAAAAAACATTCGATTCGTATTGATAAGGAGACGTGCTGATTAGTTTTTGGCAAAGGCAGGTCCAGCCGTTCCGAAGATACGAGGCAAAAAGTGCCGAAAACGGTAACTCAGTTTTTAAGAGAACGGAGCGTCCGATTTGAATAATTCAAAAAACAAATTTATTTGTATTGACTAAATGAAGAACTGCACAAATTTTTGGAAAGACAGGTCTAACGACTTTGGAGATATGGAGGAAAAAGTAAAAAAATGAGCCATTTGGCAGTCAAAAATGAACATTAGACATATGCACATCAAATTATCAGATATTTTATAGAGATTTTAACAATAAGTATAAATTTTGTTTACATTCCTATGGGTTCCGTACCAATGCTTATGCGTTAGACGGCGACGCGGCGCTCACGCGCTTTGATATTTTGTCTTTATGCAGTTAAAGCAGTACGATTGCTTTGAAAAAAGTTCAGAATTTTCAAAATATTTCAAAATAAATGATTTAAGATAGAATGATTTAATATGGTTCGAAATTCTATTAAAAGTTTCAAATCATTGATAAACAACTTTTATTGATTATTATTATTGATTATTTTTAATTACTCGAATTTTGAATTGCAGTACGGAAAGTTCCAGCAATTTGCCTTAAGGCACTTACATCTATTTTATACATCTCAGACAGACGGAAGTGTCTGGTATGAGAGATCGTAAAAAAATCTATACAAAAGTATTATTTTATACATGATGTTATTATTATATGTATAAATATGAATATAATATGGTCATTACCACATTTTATATCATTTATTCTATTTATTCTTTTCTGATTAGTTTACCAAAAACTACATAAATTTCACTACATTTCTTTATAATTTATACACCTACTTTTTTGCTTTTCTTAAGCAAGACGTAGTCAATAATATTATAAAGAATTGTAGTGAAATTTATGTAGTTTTTGGTAAACTAATCAGAAAAAAATAAATAGAATAAATGATATAAAATGTGGTAATGACCATATTATATTCATATTTATACATATAATAATAACATCATGTATAAAATAATACTTTTGTATAGATTTTTTTACGATCTCTCATACCAGACACTTCCGTCTGTCTAGGGAATGCATTACCGGTATACCGAATTACCGGTAAATCGCCCGATTTTTCGGCGGTATTTTTACCGGTATTTACCCCAAAAATACCGATATTTTCGATAATTTTACATAAACGCTATTTGATACATAATACCCTAAAGTTTAAATTTCTCGGAATAAATTTCTCTTCATATTCCATAATCGCATAAACAGCTATATCTTCAAGTGATTTTATAAGATAAACAAATGTCAAATATTATCTCAACTCGTCATTAAACTGAATATTTATTGCTTTCCAAAGGGTTTCATATCGTGTTACAATAAATAGAATTGAACTGAATGATGTTTGTTTCATCTTTTGTAAAAATGTAACGGTTTTTTAAGTGATATTTGCGCCAAAATATCTTATATCATACAGATTACCCCTGCGTAATCTTTATTTTTTTCTAACTTCATACATAATTATTATGATAATTATGATAATTACTAAATATTTTTGTTTCTTATTACAATTATAAAATATTATTTTTCGAAAACGTTTCTAAGTTTGAAAATACTATAGAAGCGTCACATTGTTTTAAATAACAATACTCAACAATTATAGTAACTTATTATTTATCTCGACAAAGTATCTGGTCTTAAATTAGTGTAAAAAAATATTTTTTTGAAATATTAGAGATTATGCTAATTTAATACATCGGATACAGACAATACAGTTTATTATAATAATGTAATATGATCTTTTATCAGTTTTTGGTCTTTCTTACTCATACGTTTGTTTTTGGTGAAAAGTACTCAATATCAAGTATATATAGTGATAATGAATTAATTAAATTGGATATAATTTTGTTAAATTATTATTTGAAAAAATAAATTTATTGTTTTATTTTATTGTTTAGTTGAATATACATTTTTTTTATATTTGTACTAGTAACTTTCAATTTTGTTTACGTTTGTTTAAGATAATAAAAATACCGGTAATTTACATGTATTCCGGTTTTAAAATGAAAAAATACCGAAATACCGTTATTGAAATTTTTCATCGGTATTGCATTCCCTAGTCAATAATAATAAATATTATTTTTTATTTATACTCACCACCAAATTATATTTTTCAATAACTTTCCTGGCTTCATCACTGGCATCAGTATTTTTGATTGTAGGTCCATTGGCCATGTCCTCCAATCTGTCACCGACAACATTAGACACCACCAAGGCTATAACTTGGGCAGGATGAGCAATGACTGCCAATTTACCGCCCTTAGAAAAAAAAAGAGTGCGCGTAAGGATCACACGCGATTGAAGTAAAACTTTTAATATTGTATGAGTAGGCAATTAAGATAAAAATAAAAAAAACATCATATTTGAATTTTAAAAATCATCTTCTAATAATCATATAATATCAATAATAATAAGATCTCCTGAGCATCGGCACAGCTGTCCTACTGATATTAAGAGTTTGAATATGATGTGAAGCTTTCTTCCTAATTTTGTTACCTATCTTACCGGGAAATTCAAACCATAAACGTAGAAGTTCATCATTATCGCCACGTTCTATGTACACTAATTTTCCCACACAACCATTAGCTAAGCCATCACTTACATCAATATTAGTTGTTATTATGTAAAATTTATTCAGAACTAAAATTATTTCATACGGCAAAGCCCCGGTATCAATAACCGATTTTTTTGAAACTGCTGACGAATGTATGATTGTTGATCTGTCGCATGGCAACCTACATAAATATCCGTGGCAGTAGATATTATTTTGTCTTCAACGAGATTCAATATAAATTTATTATATTCCATGGCACATTTATTCTCTAAGAAAAGTCTTATTCCATGAGGACATAATACAGCAACCTCTTCTTTTGTAAAAAAAACGTGATTCAATTAATGCAAGTTCATATAGGGTTTAGCGCTCGACTTACGCATGACATGACGGGAGTGGATACTCGCGACATCAGCGCCTACCTGCGTCGTAGTGTTCAACTTCACGTTGGCGTTTTCGTTGCATTTGTACGGATTTACACCCGTGTCGCGCCTAAAAATTTTTACACCCATATCGCGCCTAAAGAAGTTTTACTTCAAAAGCAATCATTATAAAAAGATATATGATGATGATGACTTTATATAAAGTATCAAAGTTAATTTTTTTTATCAAAACTTACCATAAGAGTGGAGAACTTTTTCGAAACGGCTGCCTTTTCTTGTTCACTAGCACCAGATTTGGTCAGTTCTTCTAGAATGAAGTCGATGTCGTTAAGGGATACCTGGAAATAATAAATATTAACTAAGATAGGTTTGCGTTTTCAATCAAACTTTCCCAACAAACCACAAAACGTAATTAAAACGTTACTATAACGTAACAGAAGTAACGTCGAACCTGGTATGACAATTGAATTCCTGGTTTTAATGAACATACTAAAATATTGTAGGGCTGCGATAGACCAGTGGTTTAAACATAAAAATTAACTAAAGTTCGGCTTAATAGGACGCCCTTTTGAGTTTTTTAAAAATGTGTAATATTTAAGACATTTGTCGAAAATGTCAGGCGTAGTTGCTATCTGTAATTCATACATTTCGTTTTGATTAGGGGAGTCCATTAATCACGTGATCGATTTCTAAAGATTTTTAGACCTCTTTCCCTCCCCTTACTATCCATCACGCGTATTTTAGAACTTAAAAAAATCGTAAAATTTTTGAATCATTTAAAAACAATGATGAAAAATAAATACCCGAGATATCTTGCCCGAAACCCTACCCTTTCCGACATGATATTTTGTGATTATTTGTCACTTCCTAATTCAAGCCTATCGTGATTAATTGACGCACCCTCAGGTGTATTATTTAGGTCGGGAAGTTTATGCAACTTGCCTTTAGGCAAAATGCTACATACACCTATTTTGTTTACTTACACAAGAATAAAATTATCTTAGAAATCTGTACAAAAAATTTTGAAGTAACGCTCACCATGCGTATCCAAGCCTAAGTGAAAACGTATGGGAAAGAGTCGTGTTAGGTTCGGACGACATGGCAAGCACTCGAAAAATTTGAACTATTTGTCGAATGTAACTATGTATGAATGTAAAATATAGACTTAGGTACCGATTCTAAGAAAAATGTTATGGCAAGGTCATGTTTCGCTCCGACTTCCATACATTATGCTACTGAATCATACTGAATACTGTCAAAATGTCAAGTATTTTCTGTGCATTCAGGTGTTTTACACACAAACTGCAACGTCACTCGTATGTTATGAAGCCGAGTCAGAAAGACCCTGTTATCAAAGATCGTTTTTATGACTTTTGTGCGGTTTCTAAGTTAAGTTTTCTATCTGACAACCTGAGAAAAGACGCCTGACTGCACACAAACCACATAGCTTTTGTCAATATTTTGTATGGAAAGTCCTTCATAACATGGCCTTGCCATAACATTTTTTTGTTATCCGGCAGAATCGGTCCCTTATTTGAATTAAAAATTTACCCCAGCAACAGGAGCTGCTAAAAGTTCATCAGCTCCACTCGACATCAGTACAAACAAGACATCACCTTCTTTGCAAGTTTCTGCATAGAAGTAAATGGCACGACCGGCCTCGTCTGTTCGTTCAATGGAATCCTTTTTAACTAAAACATAATTATAAATAATTATATATATATATATATATATACATATATATATATTTATATTTATATATATATATATATATATATATATATATACGAGGTCTGTTCAAAAAGTACCCGAAATTTTCGTTTTTTCAAAAAAATATTTATTTATTCGTCTACATTAATGTGGTCCCCTTCAAAGTAGTCCCCCCCAGATATAATACACTTATGCCAGCGTTTTTTCCAATTTTCGAAGCACCCTTGATATTCACTTTTTGATATGTCCTTGAGCACTCTCAGCGATTCGGCCTTTATTTCTTCAATCGAGGAAAACCGCCGTCCTTTCATGGGTCTCTTCAACTTTGGGAATAGGAAAAAGTCACACGGAGCCATATCTGGTGAATTTTTGCACTTTGCAACACTTTATTTCATTTTTTACGCAAAATTTAATACAAATTCTTTGACTTTTCAATTCTTCCATTGTAAAAATCGCCGAGCTCAGAAAAACACGTCGAACCTTAGCGACTACCACAGACAAAGTAAACAGTGAATATAGCTGAAAATTTCATCATACTTTAGGGGCATGTATACCAACACAATAAAAAAAAATTTTGACAATCAGACACTCCAGACCCGCGAAATTTAATTATTAGTAATTCCGGGTACTTTTTGAACACACCTCGTATATATATTTATATATATTACCTTTGTGGGCGGTGCTGCAATTCAACTCATGCTCAGATCCTTGTGACTCTATGACCCATATGTCGCTTTTCAAATTTTTGGCAGCCTGTGAAAATAAAAGTACAATTTAACTTTTAGTAATTGAAGTATGAAAAACAAACAAACTACATCAAACAATCAACTCTAACAATGTTCAAGCAAAAAACTAGCTATTTTACTAAAATTTGTCATCTGCCCTCTCATCTGTGGCCACCTGTGGTTTGATATAAGGCGATGGCTGATTGCACACCTTTTGCCCTCTACTTTAAAATAGTATTATTCACAAATACCATACTTTACTTTGTTTTCAAGATAATATTTCTGAGATTTTTTTGTATCTTACCACTCCTGCTCCAGGTGGAACACTCAAAACTCCTCCACAAATTCTGTACCCCAAAAGCTGCTCCAACTGGGCCGTCATGTCGACCACGTAATTTCCAAAACCCAAAATCCTTGGAGTCTTGTCCTTCAAGGGTATACGAAAAGTTTCCTGAATTATTAACACAGGATCAACCGAAAGTCCTGGAATAGAACAAAAAACATAACAAAATGACACTGAATTTAAATTGCAAACTGAACCAAAACACTCTCCGACAAAAAATTTAATTTTGAGGTAAAGTTGAGAAAGAACTCTACTGACGAGCAAACTTAATTTTGATTTAAAAGATGAAACATAGACTCTACTGTCGAGAAAATTTAATTTTGATCTCTAGAGAATTGAAAATCGAATTCTATTGACGAGCAAATTAAATTTTGATTCAAAGAATTTAAAAAGAACTGTACTGGTGAACTAGCCCAATTTCGATTTAAACAAATAAAATAAAAAGGACTCTATTGACGAGCAACATTAATTTTGGAAACAATTTTATTAACTTCCCGTAGGGTAAGTTATTGTAATGGGCCAAAAATCAAAATTGAAAATTTTTACATTTCTCGACGTTTTGAAGGTTTCTGAACATTTTGGCATACCTCAGAAAAAATTGATGTGTGTATGTGTGTGTGTGTATGTATGTATGGATACAAATTTCCAGTCACGTTTTCGGGCGCACGGATCAACCGATTTGAATGGTTCAAAAAACATTCGATTCCTATTGATAGGGAGAAGAGCTGATTAGTTTTTGGCAAAGGTAGGTCCATCCGTTACGGAGATACGGAGCAAAGAGTGCAGAAAATAGAAATCGAGTTTTTGAGAGAAAGGAGCCATCCGATTTGAATGATCTAAAAAACATTCAATTAGTAATGATTGGGAGAAGTGTTTATTAGTTTTTGGCAAAGGTAGGTCCAGCCATTTCGAAGATACGGAGCTAATTGTGCAAAAAATGACAGTTTTTGAGAGAACTAAGCGTCCGATTTAAATGATTCAAAGAACTTTCTGCTTGTCTTAACAAAATAATTGTTTTTGGAAAAAAAATCAACTTTTTTTTCAATTTTTTTTTTGTATATCGAAAATAATTCAGATTTTATTTTTAATTCTGACTATATTTCTAATATACTTTAAACAAATAATTTCAACTTTGCAATTTAGTTTATATAATTCTTATGAATATTAGACAATGTTACAATATTTATAATAATCTATTTGAAAACATTCAGTATTCCTCGAACATTTCGTTACCGTACGGGAAGTTCCAGCAATTTGCCTTAAGGCACGATGCCATACACCCCACTAGTTGTTCATTTTATTAATAATAATAATTACAATTTTATGCATTTCAATATGCATACAAATCTCAAATTGACAAAAAACTTGGTAATCGAAATCAATTTTGCAATTATTTTTGAAGAGAAAATATAGAATTCTTTGAATATGTTTATTTTTATATGAAAATAATGCAGTGAACCTGATATATGAAATAAGAACAAATTTTTGTGTATAATATTTTTCACAAAATAATAATACCTCACATTCTTTTATTATTTCCTACTTGAGAATTAATTATACATCAGGTAGTAATTAGCATACTATTACTTTTATAAAATTATAAAATCATAATTGTGTAAAAGTTATAATATAATACTAAATATTTTTTAGCTTATTTATGAACAAAAATTATCGTATACAGAATATAGAATACAAAATAGCATTATTTTGAGACATTATATACCCGGAAAGTCCTAAAACTGGCTGTGAGACGAGAAAAAAAAAACACTTCTTTCGCCCCAAATTCATGTATTAGTAAAAAATCTCAAGCAAATATCTGCACATATTAACAGATTTAGTATCAGTTTAGGGAATTCGGATATGGCAAATCCTGTGAGGAGTTGTATCGGAGTAATAACTCCTAAGTGAGTTACCCATCTCTAATAAAAATAATGATGACAATTAGTGGCGTCGGAACCAAATTTTTGATGGGTGGGCTCGTTTTTTTTTTTTTCATAGCCCATATTAGCCCATATAATTTTTTGAAATTGATGGGTGGGCTGAGCCCCCCCATCAAAATTCATGGGTGGGCTCAAGCCCACACAGCCCACACGGTTCCGACGCCACTGATGACAATTATTATCATTTATTACCTTCGATTCTTAAATTTTTCTTAATCAAATTCTTAGGTTTGACCTCCTTGACACCAGCCATAAAGATGCACTTGATGATATCAATTGATTCTTGAAGTTCTCCCATTTTGCGAATAAAAAATAGCTAAATAAATAAAAAAAATTATAAAACGAGTGATGAAATAAAATTTTGATGCTCGAAAAACAAATTCGTGGTAATAAAATAATTATTTACTGCACATTTTTTTAATAAATTAAGTTGTATTTTTTTTGTTGCTATAATTTTACATTTTTTGGACAAATTTTGTGAAGTATGATTTGTTATCTAGTAGTCATAAAATGAATTTTTTTTTTGATTAGTAGTTGGTTGTAATAAGAAGTTTTATGGTTCGATACGTACCTGCGACAGCTTGATGTCAAGCAGTAGTGACATTATAGGTAGAAATATGTATCCAAGCAAAAATGTCCTTACCAGTAATTGCTGCAAATTGTAACTAGTAGTAAGTGGCATTTTGCTTTAAGGAAAGTTGCATGAACTTCCCGATGCGTATAAACAATCAACTTAATCAATACTAATTGTTTAGTTACAATTCTTGACCTATTGAGATAAATTTTTGAGTGTGATTTCGAAAATGCAGTTTTTTTACTAAAATATAATCTATACGATTTCCAATTTATATTATTAGTATTTTAGAGCAGTAGCCACTGATGATCTTTTTATTCAACCGCTTACCATAGGCCTATAATATTTTAGTATGGTATTTCAAACTACGATATCTATCGTCATATTTATTACAAAGAAATAGAAAGTTTTTGTCAATTATTTACAAAGAAATGACCATAACCAATTTTAATTAAAATGATGAAAAAGGGACTCTACTGACAAACAAACTTAATTTTGATTCAGAAGGCAAATAAAGGACTCTACTGACGAGCAAATTTAATTTTGATTCAAAGAATGAATAATCAAACTTGATTTTGATGATAAATTCAAAAAATGACTCTACTGACTAGCAAACTTAATTTCAATCTAAAATAAATTTTTAATAAAGTCGATCCAGAAATTTTGATTCAGAAGATAAAAAAGGACTCTACTGACGCGCAAATTTAAATTGTAAACTGAACAAAAATACTCTGACAAAAAAAATTAATTTTGATGTAAGATTAAAAAAGGACTCTACTGACGAGCACACTTAATTTTTATCTAGAATATAAAAAAGGAACTCTACTGTCAAGCAAACTTAATGTTGACTTGAAAATTAGAAAAAGACTCTACTAACAATAAACTTAAATTGCAAACTAAATGATAAAAAAAAGACTCTACTGACAAGAAACTTAATTTTGATTTAGAAAATTAAAAAGAGACTATACTGACGAGGCAATTTAATTTTGATCTATAAATTTAAAAAAAATATTCTATGATTGAGCAAATTTGATTTCGATGTGAAATATAAAAAAGGACTCTACTGACTAGCAAAGTTAATTTTTATCTAAAAAAAATTTAAACGATGTCGATCTATAAACTATGAACAAAAGGATAAAAAGGACTCTACTGACGAGCAAAATTAAAAAGGAAAAACGGACTCTACTGATAAGCATGATTAATTTTTATCTAAAATATAAAAAGGGACTCTACTGACGAGCAAATTGAAATTGCGAACTAAAGCAAAATACTCTACTAACAAAAAATCTAATTTTGATATAAGATTGAAAAAAGGACTCTACTGACTGCAAATTTAATTTTGACCTAGAAAATTAAAAAAGGACTCTACTGACGAGCAAACTTAATTTTGATGTAAAAAATTAAAAAAAACTACTAACTAGCAAGGTTAATTTCAATCTAAAAAGAATTTTAAATAATGTCAAAAGATTTTTTTGTTTGATTCAAAAAATAAAAGGGGACTCTACTGACAGCAAATTTAAATCGTAAAATAAACAAAAATACTCTAATGACAAAAATTTTAATATTGATATAAGGTTAAAAAAAGGACTCTACTGACAAGCAAACTTAATTTTGATGTAAGATTCAAAAGCAAACTTAATCTTGAATTGACAAATTAAAAAAAGGACTGTACTAAAGTGCAAACTTAATTTTAATTTAAAAGATATAGACTCAAATTATTTATAAAAAAATTATTAATAAAACTTAATTTTAATGTAGAGGATTAAAAAACAAATTCTATTGACGAGCAAATTGAATTTTGATTTAAAGGATTTAAAAAAGACCTCTACTGACGAGCAAACCTTATTTTGATGTAAAAAATTAAAATTTGTCTTGAAAAATTAAAAAAGGACTTTACTGACAAGCAAAACAATTTTGATCTAGAAGATAAAAAAGGGACTCTACTGAGAAATATATTTTATTTGAATGCAAAAAAAGTTATTTTTTTCTTAATATATATATTTTTTACAACAAATTTGTGATTGTGTTGAAAATATTTTATACGCGTATATTTTATTCTCATTTCATTTAGTCAAATTAATCAGGTTTATCTTTTCTATATTATATATTTAAATAAATCTTATCCTAGAATTGAACCTAAGGGTAAATTTACGTGCTACCGTTGGTGGCGACCTCTTTGATATGCTGAAATAATTAAAAATGATGTAATGTCAAAGCTGCCCTGTTTTTCATCTATTTACACTTGTTTATCTATAGAGCAACTCTTTATTAGAATTTTATACGTTTCTATATCTTATTAAAATAATAACTTTAAATTATTTTAAATAAATAACTTTACATTATTTCTGTAAACAAATCAAATCAGAAAAATCCCATTTATTATAATATACATATATTATAAAAATCATTTATACATATTTAAATCTTATTGCAAACATGCCCTTAGTAGAATTACAACTAAAATATTTTATAGTTGACAATTTATTTGTAATTTATTTTATTAAAATTATTTTAATAAATCCTTTTTATATTATTATTTGGTAAGTTTGTACTCTTTCTCGCACACACACGTTGTGAAATTAATTAAAATCAATAAACACTTTATATTAATAATTTTTTTGTTTTTTTTTTTTTTGGCAAAATATTGTTAAATGATTGGCAAAATATAAGAGCTTTGAAAGCCATTGGGGGTAGTTTTATGAAGAAAAACAGATTGACTAGTAAATGATATATATATATATATATATATATATATATATTTAATTGTATTGCGGATATATTTTCTTTATGAACAAATTTTTCTAATATTCCATTTATATTGAATGGACAATCAAGTAGTCAAAAAATGTTATACTTATAAATTATATTGTTTAGTAGATTTCAATATTGTCTGAATATTTTCTATATATAAATTTGCAAAAAATAAATATATAAATTGGTAATTGTGTCATGAATCGATAACTACATGCATAAATTTCTATACACATTTTTGCACTTCCATAATATTATTTATATCTGTACATTAAAACTAGTAATTTGTAGTAATTTGTCCTTAATTAATTATAACTATTACTTTTTATCAACTGTTCCTATTTTAATAGATTTATTTAAAAAAAAAGCATTTAAATCTATTTAATCACTAATAAATGAATATTTATTACTTGTCTATTTAACATAATTTTAATTGTTATTTTTTTGAATAATTTTGTTAATTTTTTAAATGATTCGTTGATTTAAATAAAAATGTAAAAAAGAATACTAGGCAATACTATGTTGCTATGAGATCTTAAATTTATTGAAATAATTGTGCTCGACTTTAATAATTTTTTATATTTCGTTTTATATCCTTGATACTTAATTTAAAATTAAAGGTAAATATTATTTTCTATATTAACGAACATATTTACATAAATTGTGCATGAATCTGGGTATATTAGGGTGGTCCTTAATATGAAAATTTTTTAATTTCTTTGCTCCCAAGGGCTCAAATGGTTCCAAATTGATAGGGTTCCATATTAAGGACCACCCTAATATTTATATATATATATATATATATATATATATATTATTTTAATTCAACGATCTACTACTGTTACTCTTACTATGTGAAGACTTCTCAGCAAGTAAGCCCCCTCGAATGAAATATGGTTTATAAGCAGCTTTTTTAACAAAACTCGATTTTGTTGTTCCCGTGGTTCCATTTAAATTCAAAGAATTGTTAGATTCGTAATTTTGTGTGTGGAATTTCTTGTCGGGCCTGAGATGTCTAGGAATCTGATTGTACTCGAGTTTGACCAGAGATGTGTTTGTTACTTCGCAATCGATTTGCATCAGTTGGATTATTTCGCCAAAAGAATCTGGAAATGGAAAGAAATAATTGATAATAGATAGAAACTGACGAGCGAACTGAAATAAAATACATTTTATAGTAAAACTACCCGACTAAAATGCAACAAGATATTTCACAAACTAGTGGTGCATGGCATCGTGCCTTAAGGCAAATTACTGAAACTTCCCGTACCATAATTAAACTTTCGTGAAATGAAAACAATCAATAATTGTTTTCAATAATTTCAAATAGATTATTTAATTATAAATACATACTGTAAATTTTTAAATGCTTTTTAAATTGGTCGACAAGCGTATTCTACAAACAACTTATGCGTCTTAAATTACAAGAAGTTTGTTAATTTTTTTTTAATTTGAATTTTTTGATGATTTAAATTTTTTTTTTAAATCTCGAAAATTTTTAGCATTTTTGAAAAAAAATCTTAAAAATCCTCCTAGTTTCATGAGAATTTAGAAATTTTTGAAAATATTCGATTGTTTTTTTGAAAATTTCGAAATATTCTCAAATTCTTGTAAGAAATCGATATTTTTGTAATTTTGATATTTTTTGAAATCTTTCAAATTCGAAATTACGAATTATTTTGTAAAAGCATTTTTTGCACACCATCTACACAAACAAAAGGTTTTTCAAATCGGTTGATCCGTGTTCCCGAAATCGTTGACGAAAATTTGTATCCGCACACACACACACACACCAATTTTTTCTAAGGTATGCCAAAATGTTCAGAAACCTCTGAAACGTAAAAACATATACAAATTTTCATTTTCGATTTTTTTGCGATTACTATAACTTGCCCAAAGGAAAGTTAATAAAAAGGACTCTAACGACGAGCAAATTGAAATTAAAAACAGTAAATAGAAAAAGGACTCTACTGACGATCAAACTAAATAAAAAGTCAATTTTATACAAAAGGCACTCTATTGACGATTAAATTGAAATAAAAAACAGTGAATTGAAAAAGGACTCTACTGACAAGCAAACTGAAATTTTAAACAATTTTGCAATTTTGTAAAAAATGACTGTACTGATGAGCAAATTAAATTAAAAGACTAACTATTTTATAGAAATACTGACGAACAAACTGAAATACAAAACAGTAAGTCAAAAAATGACTACTAGAACAATCAAATGCAGTGAATAAAAAAAGACTCTACTAACGATCTAACATAGTGAATAAAAAAGGACTCTACGAACAAGAAAACAAATACAAAACAGTTAATAAAAAAAGGACTCTACTCAGAAACTAAAATAGATGACATTTCATAGTAAAATGACTTCACTGACGAGCAAACAAATAAAAGACAATAAATTGTAAAGAGACTCTACTAACGAGCAAACTAACATTCAATCAGTAAATAGAAAAATGACTCTACTGATGAGCAAACTAAAATTAAAAAATTGTCAATGGAAAAAGGACTCTACTGACGAGCAAACTAACATTCAAGGTGTAAATAGAAAAAAGACTCAACTGATGAGCAAACTAAAATTAAAAAACTGTCAATGGCAAAAGGACTCTACTGACGAGCAAACTGAAATTCTGAACAATTTTGTATAAAAATGACTCTACTGACGATCAGCTGAAATTCACTGAAGTGACGAGTAAACTGAAATAAGACTATAAATAGTAAAAGGACTCTACGACGAGCAAAAATTGAAATAGAAGATATAATATAGAAAAAGTACTCTACTGACGAGAAAACAAATAATACAAAAAAGTGAGTGAAAAAGGGACTCTACTGACGAGCAAATAGAAATATAAAATATTTCATAGAAAAGGACTCTACTGACGAGCAAACTGAAATAAATAGAAAAAGAACTCCACTGACGAGTGAACAAATAAAGCACTAAATGAAAAAAGGTATTCTACTGATGAGTAAACTAAAATGAAATACAGTAAATAAAAAAGGGACTCAACTGACGAGCAATTTGAAATAAAAAAGGACTCAAGGACTCGACAAAAAATAAATACCAAACAGTGAATAAAGAAGGACTCGACTAACGAGCAAAATAACATACAAAACAATAAATAGAGAATTGACTATTAACAAGCAAACCAAAATAAAAAAGAGTAAAAAAAGAACTCCACTGACGACCAAACTATAATAAACAATGGTAAAATGAAAAAGTTGGTAAGTAAAATTTAGCCAGTAAATCGGTATTAATACATAATTAATATAATATTAATATACAATTAAAATCGAACTAACTACAAAATGATTTACTATCATAAAACAGCCAAAATATTTATATGGTAAAAAAATCATTGTAACAATTGGCGAAAATTTTCATGTTTCCATTTCGTCATTAATATTTTTGGAGAAAACTCTTACTCGCTCAAAATTCGTAATTCGAATTAAAACAAATTAGCCACTTTTTTGGCGGCTCATACCTCAAAACACTCGTAAGTAATAAAATATTTATTGTATATATAATTCTATCTACTTACTATTTTTCCCAAGCACCGGCATCAGCAGACTCATTTTAGGCCTCGACGTATTGTTATGAGCCAATGCAGGCAGTAGCAAATGATCCAAATGGAACGAAACCACATAGAAAGTATCATCCCTCCTTTTGATAGCCTCATAAAACTCGAAATCCTGTCCATAATTATTAGGATCGAACACGTCAAGTTCGCTATAAGTCTCAGGAATTTTATCCATTATCACTTTACGTCTTCTCATAACTTTACTCTTGGCTTTATCCTTGATCGTGTGCCTTCTGACTAATCTAGGATTGTCTATATCACGGTTGGGTTTGTTGGTTATTAGTTCTAAGGATATGTTTGGTTTTATTTCAGGGTTTTCTATGTTGGATTTGTTAAAGGATGATGTTAGTGGTGGTTGTTGTTTGATGCCGATCCATTTTCGTAGTTCAGATTCCAAACGCATGCTTTCGGAGATGTTTATGTACATTGGGCATATAGGGTGGATGCCTGTTTGGGTTTTGAAGTCTTGGAATTTTGAAGGCATACCTGAGGAAAATAAATAGAATAGTAATATCTTATATTTCCGTAATCCTCCGAAACGGCTTTACCGATTTTTATCAAATTTTATATGCGTATTAAGTAGAATCGAGAATCGTTTTCATACCCCCAGATAAAGGTATAGATATATATATATATATATATATATATATATAATATATACACTAGATGACCCGACAGACGTTGTCCTGTATCCACATCTACATTTTTTTAATATCCTATACTAATATTTACACCGTTCAGTTAAAAATAATAATTATTGTTTTTCGAATTACTATTTGCACAAATATGAGTGATGTTAAATGTAGAACTGCTTCAAATAAAATGATGATTCTCAATTCCCACAGTTAACACTTTAATTATCCCTTTAACAAATATTAAAATATGTTCAATAAAATTGTATATTAAAATTTATACACCGCAATTAATAGAACAAATTTATTTCCAATAGCTCAATTTATTTTAATGCCAAGGGTTATCCAATAATTTTAGTCAAACCTGTAGATGTGGATGTATAAATGAATGATTTTTTGTTTATTCATGACTAAAGCATTAATTTTAAAGCATAAGATATACGTATTGGAAATTGAAGTCTTTTAAAAGGTATAACATATTCAGAAAGAATTAATATATAGCATTCGCGGTATAGGTACAATATCACCTTGAATGTTTCTACCCAAAATAATAGCTTCAATAATGTTGCCTATAATTTTTATAATTTCGTACCATATTTTAACTGGCTTTTAGTAATTTTAATATCTAAATTACATTTTTCTCACTAATAATTCAATATACATTATTACTTAAGTTTATATTTGAAGTGAATTAATTTATCAAATCCTGTTCACATGTGCTCTATTCAACCTATGATCAACAAAATTATTGCAGTAAATGGAGAGGAAAAAGCGTGTGTCCTGTGATTTTTTTTTACTGTGCTCCAATTGCATGATATTTTGGAAATACGCTAATCTTAATCTTAAGTTCAGAAGTGAAAACAATTTGCACTCCTTCACCACCCCCGGCATTAATTGGATTATAACTCTTTTAATTCTGATTTTATCAGAACTTGCAATACACTATTTTAAAGGTATTTAAATGAGCTACAACTTTCTCTATCATAAATTTTACAGGAACGTCTCTTATTTTGACACTTCAAACAATTATAACCTTATCAATATTTGTACAACAAAAAAATAATAAAAAGCGATAATTAGTCAGAAAAAACCCTTGAATTTCAGATATATAATAATGAGAAATTGATTGTTTTATTAATGAATTTTTTTCATGCAATCATGAGTTTTTTGAAAATCTTTTGTACTAAAGTTATGGTATTTTCTAGAATCCATCAAAATCTCTTAAACCAAGTTAATTCTAGATGGAATACGATTATTTCTGATTTTGGTGGAAATGGCACTCATAAACTATTTGATTCAAATGGAAAAAAAACATTGTATGCGTCTTTTATTCGCATGATAGCTCACTCATTTTACACACAGAAATACTCATTTTAAAGCCTATTTTGTGGACTATAAAACCCAATTTCCATATCTAGCTTAATATTATTCCTAGAACACTATAAAACAGTGATTTATTATAATAATTTATATAATTTTGGTCATTTCATTATTTTTGTTAAAATGTATATTTCTGAAGATATTAGCAAAAAACGCTTTTAATTTTCCTTTAGCGTTTAGTTAAAAAATAATAATCTGTCAAATTGAATTTTAATATAGGGAATGTAATTACATTGAACTGACATTTTACAAATGTGAGACGCATGCGCAGAACTGCTTCACTTGTCAGACGCATTTTGACTATTTAATTATATTATTTTAATTTTTGGCACATCTCAGCTGCTTTTCGGCATTAATAATGTAGACATTACATTTTCCTTATTCATAATCATGAATTTATTATATTTTAATATTGCCTTAGTCTATAAGTGAATAGAAATGTTTGGCAAATGACAGTCTTCAATTGTTTTTAATGTCAAACTAAGCTTCAAATATTTTCAAGGTCAAACAATGAGCGATTTTTTGTAATTTTTAACATTTATTTCTACAATCTAACTATATTTCTATAAATCTACAAATTCTAGAAAATTTCTCGAACAAACTTCAGGAAAATTAATGATAATCCGAATTATAGTTTAGGAGGATTAATCAGTCATACATAGTTACAGAAGAATTTTTTATATATATATATATATATATATATATATATATATGTAATTAATACTTACTTGTTAAGTTGATTTTTATCTCTGCACTATCATAATCCAAATTTTGATCGTCGACCCAGAGCAAATGCCGGCCGACTGGAACATCTTTAGAAATTTCTGAATTTTCAAACGCTGAAATGTCCGTTTTCATAAACATATTGTTGAAACTGAAAAATAAAAATATACATTATAATAACAACTAGTTCATTCATAAAATAGAGTCAGTAATGTTAATAATTTTACCCAAATGATCCTATATTGAATGAAACCATAACAAGCATTGCTAATAAAAATGCCGTGTTTTTACGAGCGTTTGCTGAAATATTTATTAAATTCGGATGCTGATTTGATTTCTCTTCGTCCATACATTGAGCTGATAAACGGGCTCGAAGTTGTGCATTTTCCTGCAAGAGGAATAAAATACAGTTGAATGTGAAATAATAAAAATTATTAGATATTAAACTATTTACACTTGCATTTAATTAACTTCGCGTAGGGTAAGTTATAGTAATCGCAAAAAAAAACAAAAATAATTTTTTTCATATATTTTTACGTTTCAGAGGTTTCTGAACATTTTGGCATACCTTAGAAAAAATGGATGTGTGTGTGTGTGTGCGCGCGTATAAAAATTTTCGTCAACGATTTCGGGAACACGAATCAACTGATTTGAATAATTCAAAAACAATATTCGATTCGTATTGATAAGAAAACGTGCTGATTAGTTTTTGGCAAAAGTAGGACTAGCCGTTTCGGAGATACGGGGCGAAAAGAACAAAAAAAAAATCAGAATTTTCAAAAAAAATCAAATTTTCGAAATTTTTCAACATTCTCAAAAAAAAATCAAATTTACGAAATTTTTCATCATTTTCAAATCAAACTGAATTTTTAAACATTTAAAAAATATCAAAATTTAAAAGAAAATGGATTTCTTACAAAAATTTGAAATTATTTCGAAATTGTCATAAAAAATCAAATATCAAACATTTCTAACTAATAAACTAAACTCTAATAACTAAAAAAATCGTTTCTTTCCAAAAATTTCGAATTTTTAAAAAAAAATTCAAAATTATCAAAAAATTGAATTGAAATTGAACATTGTCTGCACAATTCTCAAAAAATTAAAAAAAATCGATTTCTTCCAAAAATTTCGAAAAAATTTCAAAATTATCAAAAAAGGCTTTCACAGAAAATTTCCTAATTTAAAAAATTTTCAAAAAACTTTAAAAATTAAAAAAAAAAAATCAATGGTTCAAAAGATTCAAATTATCAAAAAAAACTGAACTTTTAACAATTTGTAAAAATATAAAAATTAAATAGAAATGGATTTCTTACAAAAATTTGAGAATATTTCGATATTGTCAAAAAAAATTAACAAATTTCTCATAAACATACAAATAAGTGTACGGTACGGGAAGTTCCAGCAATTTGCCTTAAGGCATGTTTCCACTAGTTTTTATTCTTACCTGTTTCAATATATTATTTTCTTGTGTGAGTTCAGCAACTTTATTTTCTAATGACGTCAAATATTCTTTTTTCTTTTTCCTGGACAGACAAGCTGATGCTCTGTTTTTTATCATACGCTGGTGCTTTTTGAAGGCTCTTGATTCCAAATCTTTATCAACATTCAATAAACTACTTCCTGGCCTGGATTCAAAATTTGGAATCGGTTTTGCTTTTTGGGGTGGATTTATCTGGAAAAAAAGCAAAAATAAATAAAATTAGGAAATGATAGGAAATTTTATATTTAAATTATTACCGTGGCTCCATTGTTTATATTTACAAGATCCTGCTTGATTTCAGTGATATCATTCTTCAATTTTCCCAATTTAGCTAAATTTGCAAACTGTTGTGGTGATAAAACAATAGAATTTTTACGCTTTGTAATAACAGCCCCGTTTATCGGTTTAGGCTGAATCAACGGCCTTTTAAGTGCCCCAGGAGCGCTCTTTGTAATAATCTGCATATTATCTTGCGGAATCTGTATATACTGAACAGGATTCTGTGCGATGACAACCGGTTGCATCAAAGACTCATGTTGAAAACTGATTTTGGGTGAAATAACACACCCTTCTTGTGGCGATATAGGTGGAGTGTCCAAATGATTGTTGATGGTAACCTCGTTTTTGAGATTTTCCAAGTTGATTTCATTGCTGGAGTTTGATAAAGATGATGGACTGGGTGTGCTTCGCAAAGGTGAGACCGGCTCATGTTTGTATTCCTGTTTAATGTTGTCTTGGGATTCATTCAGTTCGTAAGATATGATGTCGTCTAAGGTCCATGGTGGGTTTTCAGTGATTGAATCGCTTGATAAAGGGCTTTCTAGTAAAGCCGTGAAGGGGTCTTGGTCTAGTAGCATAGGGATGTCTAGGTCTTGCGAGAGAGCGGATAGAAGATCTTGGTGATCTCCTATATTATCTAGATAAAGAATACATATTATTGAAAATTGTATAAAAATTAACACAATACCAATTTTGCAATTTGTATATTATATTACATGATTATTTATATTTATATCTAACTCCATTACCCATGTGTATGTAGTAGCAAAACACCTACATAATCTTTGACAATACGTTCAAAAAACCATCACAATACAACATAAACACATCCACAAACATTATATTCACTAAATCAATTCCATTCACCCCTTTCTACAAAGTATTTCAAGAGATATAAACAATTTTAGAACAATTACCATAAAAGAACGAATCATT